CTATCCTCTGAATTCCTCCCATCACTGTTGTTGCCGCTTTTGCTCGTTGTCAGGACCATCAGACAACAACCCTGCTGTCGTCTTGCAACTCCAACTGCCAGCCACCACCTTCTCCACTTGTTGCCATCTCTTGTAGCCATCTCCCGCCTTGTTGCCATTCATTCCAACTGCCCTTCTTCGCTGTCAATCTCACTCGTTGTTGTAGTCCTGGGACAACTTTCCCTTTGTTGTCTTAAAGTCCCATGCATTCCCTGTCGCTAATGTCGTTCCTGCCCCCGCCCCGAACAACCGCTTCTTGATATTTGCCGCTGTTCCAGCCCTCCAACCAGCCTCTTCTTGCCAATCTCCACCTTCTCCCATCGAAGTTCACCATAACTTCTTCCTTCTCCTACAATCATCCATTGCCCTATCACCTTCCTTTTGTCGTCCACTCACCAATCCAACCACTACCTTTGGATATATGTAGTTGTGCTTGCTTGGTTGTTGTTGTACTTCCTTGTCAAGTGTGTGTATTTGTAACTACCTATTTCCCTTTTTCAGTGATAAAATTTGCATTCCTATTGTTTAGGTTAAATCATGTATCATTTGGTTTCAGAGCTTGCCTAACTTTAGTCTTCTTATAGGACTCCTAGTATCCACCACTAACCAATCATACCTTCACTCAAAAATTTTCTTTCGCACCCTCCATCACCTCTACACACCTCCTTGCACCTATCCACCACAAACCTTAAATCACGTCGCCTCAAAGGCAATTGCTAAAACCTAATCAAGAGTTTAGTCAATTGCTACTACAACTTGATGATATTGAGGAAAGAACCCACAGAGGGGTCACAAACGAGCGTGGTAGCAAAATCCGAAGATGAGAGAGAGGGAGAAATACCTCAATACCTTATGTAGGGATGATTCCAGTGAAGAAGAAGACATGCCACCATGATTTGGGATACAATGTTAGAAGAGGGCGAGAGGTGAAGTACATGTTAGAGAATACAACGATGAAGTGTTTGTTAAAGGAAACAGAGATAAAGTGTATGTTGAATTGAGACTTGGACCTTATTCAGATTATCATTGTTAAAAAGGGAATATTAAAGAAGTTTAGGAGTTTATTTGTAAAATATTGTAATACCTTATTTAAGCCCTTGATTGATATGGATGTAAAAAATAAGTTTTGAACAATTCTCTTGATGGAATCAGAACCCTAACCCTACTGGTCGTCTTTAGGATTGTTTCATCGTCAGGATTGGCGTGAGACATTGGATACAATCCCGATTAGAGCTAACTGGGACGACAACGAGGATGCTTGCGTTATAGGCGCGATTAGAGCTAACTGAGACAACGAGGGGATCGTGACGGACGCTCGCGATGTAGGTGCGATTGCAGCGAGCTGCTTGATTGTCTGAATTGGCGTGAGACGTTAAATACAGTCGTGATTAGAGCTAATTGGATGGCAATGAGGACGCTCACAATATAGGCGCTATTAGAGCTAATTGAGATGACACTGAGGGTATCGCCAAGTACATGCGCGATTGCAGCGATGCTCAAGGGCTGAACTGATGACATCTTTAACTGTTGGATCACAACAAAATGTTTCGAGCAGCTCGGTGCATGGCAAGGATGAAGCGCATGTGAAACCAAAATAGTGGAGGATAGAATTTGGTTCTATGTGCGTGAGAGGGCTACAAAGGCTGGGCCATTGTAAAATTGAGGATGTCAGGAGATGTAGATAGTGTGGGAGGAAAAGGTTTGGAGCTTTCAAGGAAGATAGATTTTGAAATTCTGAAGGTCTTGGTAGGCTCATACAGGGACCTAGCATCTTGACGGGAGCCGCTACCCCAACACATACTCTAACACAGTTGAAGCTAGATCTTCCTCATGTGGATTTGAAACTTGATGGATCGACCACATATTTGAGTTGGTCATGTTGAATCGAGGTCTCTCTAGTAGGGAAGAGAGTAGAGGGATATCTGACAAGGGTCGAGCCAAAGGGTATTGGTGCTGAGAGGGATGAATGGAGGACCACACATACGGGTCGAGCCAAAGGGTAATGGTGCTGAGAGGGATGAATGGAGGACCACACATACCTTACTTTACACCTGACTACTCAACTCAATGGTTCTGTCAATTGTCTCATCAATAGATGACATTCAAAAGGTGTGCGATGTCTGGGTGAAGTTGAAAAAGATCAATGTTCGAGCTGAGAACCACATGAGGGTGTTCAAGATTCAATGTGAGATAGAGGTGATGGTTCAGGGTGATAGATCGATTTAGGAGTACTCCATAGTGCTGGAGCGGTTGTGAGTAAATCTTGATCGGTTCTCATTGATGTCAAGCCGTGTCAATTCGAAGTGCAAGAAAGAAGAGATATTTACACGGATGAGGACATATGTTTTCTGGCTCATCTGAATTAGGCCTTTGATCAAAGGAGATCCTTCCTCCTATCTCAGGCGATTATCCCTTAACTGGATGAGGCCATAGAAGGAGAGTTGCATGAAGTTGCACTCTGAGCTGAGTGGACTTCCAGGTGTGTGATCAACTTTGGCTATCTTGAGCTTAGGTGTGATAGGTGTCCAGGTGAAGACACTTGTGTTGTAAAGTTGGGCATCCGAGCAAGACCTGTCCTAGACCACCTAAGGAGAGAGACAGATGGACGTGGATAGGGTGGAGGTCGTGGCCTTAGTCATGACTGTGGGGGTCAAAAAGGTGAAAAGGGGGCTGCCTGGCAAATCTGATGGTAGAAGAGGAGGGAGAGATTTGGGGTTTTTACCAATGAGGATCATGAGTGTTTGGAGTTGTTGAAGCGAAAGCAGAAAACAGGAGGAGATGGGGCTGAGGATACTTCCAACCAATTGTCATGAAAGAGTAACATTGCCACTTATACTCACTTTGACAAAGGTATTTGTGATACACATGCCCTTACCTTTATTTCCACTACAAGATCATCATCATGGATAGTAGATTTTGGTATATTTCACATGTGACATGCTATAGAGTTTTCTTTCTTTACTCCCTAGTAGTACCAAAGAGCATCCAAACTGTGGATTGTACAACACAGTCTGGAGTTGGTAAGAGTACTATGAGAGGTACTAATTTTTTACTTTGTTTAATATTTTGCATGCTTCTTTTTCAATGAACCTTTTATCCATTAATACCATTATTCTCTAACTAAAATGTGTTGTTTCTTTTAATATTTCTAACGTGGGACTGAAATGTGGCATAGTGCACTCAAGTACTTGGACCGGGAGGGGATGGACTCATCCTTAACTATCTCTTTTGTGTAGCTTTGTATAGCTTTCTTTTGTATCCTTTTGTTCTATTTTAATTCCAAAAGCACATCTTTCAAGGGAGGGGATGGACTTGGCTTTAACATCCATGGTAGAGAGTGCTGGAGTAGGAGAATTTAGGAGTAGTGTGGAGGATGTGTTGCTACTACATCACAAACACACAAGACACTCTTGGTTTAGTTTATTGAGTCGGTTGTATTCTTCTTTGTATGAAAAGACAAATAAAAAAACTTATTTTTGGTGCTTGTGAGTTTGAAAAGTTTACCAGGAGCTCTTATATCAGTCCTGAGAATAGAAGTTCTGGTGTTTTTGACTTGATACATTATGTTGTTTTGGAGCCTTCTTTTACAATTCTTATGAATGGTTATTGATTTTTTGTGATTTTTATTGATTGTTGTTCTCGTTTTATTTAGTTATATTTGATTAAAAATTAAAATTATGTGTTTGCTTGCTTTAAAGACTTCCACAAGTCAATCTAGACTCAATATGATGCAATAGTGAAAGTATTGAAGTTTGATAATGAGAAAGTATACCAACAAATCATTTAAGAAATATTTGTTAGCCCAAGATATACAACATCGAACCGCATTCTCATAAACATCGACACAAAATAGAGTTGCAGATAGAAAAAATAGACACCATCTAGAATAACCTAAGGCATAATGATCACAATGAATGGTTCAAACCACTTACGAGGAAAAACGATTTTGACAGTTTCTCAATTGATCAATATGATGCCCTTAAGGTTGTTGGATTAGAAGTCTTATTGTTAGATGTTGAAAGGAGATATTAGCGGGGTGTTTGGATGTGTATGTTTTGTAAAGGATAATAGATTGGATTAGAAGTCTTATTGTCAGATGTTGAAAGGAGATATTGGCGGGGTCCTCTCATTGAAGGTGTTTGGATGTGTATGTTTTGTTAAGGATAATAGGTCATCAGTTAAAAAACTAGATCTCAGAGTTGTGAAATGTATGTTCATTTGTTATTCTACTACCCATAAGGGGTATGTTTGTTGGAGTCCGATAGAGAGACAGTGAGCAAGGATGTGTAATTTAGAGAATTTGAACCGTACTACACCCGAGAAGTGACCTCACCCTTTAGTGACTTCCCAAATATTGGAGATATGAGGCAAGGAGAGCTGACACGTGGGAGTAATGCCTTGTTTTGTGATGTGAGATGAATCTGTTGAGGAACCAGAAAATGAGAAGAGCGAACTCAGAGAAAGTGGAATTCAGGCTGAATGTGAGCTAATGGCGAATACAGGGAGAATGAAGCAAAATGAGAGAACATTGCTTGCATTGCCGCTTGTGTCAGCTAGTCCATTGCCCCAGTTTTTCCCGACTCTTGAGACACCCACACCATCCACCCCCGACTTAAATCTTCCAAGTGATATGATTCCTGCTCCTTCTAATCCTACAACTTTAAGAAGGACCTCTTGCAGCAATGTAGGACATCCTCCCAATCGTTTTTGGTGGGATCATAACATTGCTAATTTTGTTTTGTGGAAGAGCAAGAAATATTCAGTTGTAGCAAGATCAACAACAGAGACTGAATACAAGGTCATGACATTAGGAGTTGTTGAGATGATGTGGTTAAAAGCTTTGTTGGTTGAACTCAAAGTGGATCAGGGAATTCAAATGAAGCTGTGATGTGACAACAAGTTGGTATTTAGCATCGCTAACAACCCTGTGCAACATGATAGAACAAAACATGTGAGAAGATTGATAGGTTCTTCATCAAAGAAAAGCTGAATAACAAATTATTGGAGTTGGAGCTATGTCATGTAGCCACTGGAGAGCAAATGGCGGATTGCCTCACCAAGGGACTTAGCTCATTAGATTTGTATAGGTTATGTGACAAGATGAGCTTAGCATATATCTTTTGCCCATTTTGAGGGTGAATGTTGAGATTTGTATTTAATGAAGGGTCATAATTGTAAATAGGTGAAATATATAGATTTATTTGTAAATATACCTTGTAAGGCTCTATATAAGCCCACATGAATGAAATGAAGTAGATTTTTTTGAGCAATAACTTCTATTAAACTAACGGTCGGACTAATTATAGCTGGAAACCAACAACAAACCAATAGTGGCCCAATCTAACCAGCACATAATTTAGAGAACAAAAATCGTTCTCCATAGTGATCTAACATTATGTGCATCTTTATACGAAAATAAACTAAAAAAAATTAGTAACCATGAAATATGACAACTAAAGCAAATCAAGTAAAACATTGCTAAGATCATCAACTTCCTTATCTCAATGCATATGATCTGCTTTTCTGACCAATCTAGAATTTCAAATTTCTGTCAACCTGTGAACGCTAAACTTAGAAAATCTGGAAAAAAAAGAAGAAAAAGTTGAAATACTAGGGCCAGAAATTCTTTAGCTGGTGATTGAGTTATGGAACCTTATTGGAGCGACATGCCCTTGCCTCTTCTTTTCATGCTGTGAAATTCAGAGTTTGGTATTACTTAAAGGTCTATATGATTTCCTTTTTCTCCTTTTTAGACCTAACCCATATTTTAAAGCAATAAAGTTACAGTTTTGATTAAGTTCACCTTTTTCACTTTTTAAGTTTTTATTTAATATTGATTGCAAATCTCAACATTATTTGTTGAATGCATTTTCTAAAAGCCTATTTAACATACCATAGGGTATGTATTACTACTGAATATTTTGTTTCCTGTTTCGCTAATAATGTATGCCCTTGTAACTGACATCTTCTGTTATTGTTAGGCTTTCAAGGGAAGTACATTATTTTTACAAGTTAACTTTTCGTTCCATATTAGATATTGATCATATTCTAATCTAATGGATTATTCTGAAAAATTGGTTTAATGTTTTACTTTTATTAAATGTATTTGCTTTTTATCGCTAATTATACAGTCATTATCTCAACTACTGCTATTCATATCCCACTGCAAATCCAAGTAGAATTTATCTCATCACAGTTTTGTCTTTTTGCATTTCTTGGGTAGATCTAAAGCTGCAAACTGGCTCCTTCAGCCTAAGTCAAATAAAAGATGCTACCAACAATTTTAGTGCCTCTAACAAGATAGGGGAAGGCGGTTTTGGCTCAGTCTACAGGGTATATTCAAACTTACTGATTCATGGATATTATTTTAAAATGGATATGCACATTTTACTTGATTTTTCTCACATTATGCTTTCCAGTTCAGGGTTTATTGTCCGACGGTACTGTAATAGCTGTGAAACAGCTTTCTTCGAAGTCAACTCAAGGGAATCGTGAATTTCTGAATGAGATGGGCTTGATTACTGCACTGCAACACCCAAATCTTGTGAGGCTTTATGGATGCTGTGTTGAGGGAAATCAATTGCTGCTAGTATATGAGTATTTGGAGAATAATAGCCTTGCCAATGCTCTTTTTGGTAAGGATCACTCCATAAGCTCATTTGCAAAAAAATCGATGCCTTATTCCTGAGGAAAAAAAAATCATTTTATTCAATTTTTCTTTTATCTTTCTTATATAATGCAAATGCTGACCCATAGTCAAATGATTTTTAAGGCCCAGAGAAATGTCAACTGAAACTGGATTGGTCAACAAGGCACAAGGTATGTATTGGTATTGCGAGAGGTCTGGCATATCTTCACGAGGAGTCGATGCTGAGCATTGTTCACAGAGACATAAAATCTGCTAACGTGTTACTTGATAGGGAGCTGAATCCAAAGATATCAGATTTCGGCTTGGCTAAGCTCAATAAAAATGAGCACACTCACATAAGCACCGGAATTTCTGGAACCATGTTAGTCACCCTTTCATATAATCTATTTTTTGGTCAAGGCATCTGGCAAATATAAGCCTTGAACTCACACCCTTGGCATGTACCTTATCTATTCATTTTCTCTTTTTCTTTGTCAAGCCAAAGATGGTATCTTAGTGATTTCATGAAGGAGTGCACAGTACCATTATCAAATACTCAGGCCTCATTTGGCATCAATTTTGTTTTCCTATTTTATTTTTTTATTTTATTTTTGAAAACATGTCTTATTGGTATATTTTTTATTTCCTTTCTCTTTGTTTTTAAAAATAAAGTAACTTGTTTTGAAAAATACATAACGTTTTGAGTGTTTTTTAAAATAACTATGTTAGTCAAATATGTTTTAATTAAAATCAAACCACAGATGTTAAAAAATGAAAAACAAAATATAGAAGTGATCTTAAATGACCTCTTAGTGTTAAAATGGCTACTTATTGTTAAGAGCATTTCTTTTAATTTGCAGCGAACTGAGAAACATCTCATAGAGAAGACCGGATCAACATTTTTAACCTATTAAATTGCCACTATTTGTTTCTCATTCTTTTTCAAATCAATGTGGGTAACTCTAAACTTCATTTAAAACATATCAGCTGGTTTTATAAACTACTATTAAGAGCTGGCTGTTATTTGACAATTAGGATTTGCTGTAGTGCCCGAATGCCAACTTCAGCATTACAAAAAAAAAAAAAAAGGAAAAATTCCATGGGTAAAATCCCCCCAGTTGAAAGGGAAAATACAATAACATGACATAAGCAAACACCATTAAAGTGTATCCCAAGTGAGGTGGAGGTTGGTTAAGTGGATCAGAATGGCCGGTGAGTGTTATGACAATAAATGAATGCTGATGAAAGCGAGGGGGAGGTGCGAAACTGCAGAAACAATAAATATGGTTGCTGTCCTGAATGGTAGTAGCGAAGAATTGGGGTGGCTAGTGGTGAAACGTCGACTATTTGATGATCTGGTTATGAGAGTAGATGTTTTAGATTCGAGTTATGCTAAGAAAGGCAGAGGTAGATCTAGAAAGATTTGGGCATGTTGTATAAAAAATGATCTTAATTTATTCAGATTAAATGAAAACATGACACTGAATAGGACATGATTGAGAAAAAAAGATTCATGTAACCAACCTCACTTAGCGGTATAAAGGCTTGTTTTTGTTGCTATTGTGTGTGTGTGTGTGTGTGATATTTTCTGTTTTAGGTTTAGTTTTGGGCTAAGTTCTCTATTTGGACAGTCGTCAGCTTCCTCATCTACCCTTCTATGGTTGTATCTGACAGCGAGATGATACTTCAGTTGTAACTCGTTCGATGTGGTGATTTTATTTAAGGGTTCGGGGGGTGCTCCGGTCATAACTTGCTCCCGCTCGGGAATAGTTATCTTTCCATATTCACCCCACCTACTTGCTGCCATCTTTCTGGTGTTCCCACCAATTTCTGTTTCACTCCCGCACTCCAACCTGTTGCGACAGTCTCTCCAGCGCTCTGACCTGCTGCAGGCAAGCCTCTAGCGCTATGACCTGCTGCAGACAGCCTCTCTAGTGCTCTGATTTGCTGTAGACAGCCTCTTGTGTGCTCCAACCTGCTACTGACAACCTCTATAGCGCTCCGACCTGTTGCTGCCAGACTCTCCCGCACTCTGACCTACTGCCAACAACCTCTCCAGCTATCCACCCCGCTACAACAACACCTCCAACACTCTACCTGGCTGCTGTAACTCCTTCCACAGTCATTCTGCTGCGGTTTTAGCCCTGGGTCGCCATCATACCTAATGTCCTGCAGCTGCTCACCCTTTTTGCGGTCACCCTAGTGTGCCCTTTTATGTCAGTTATTGTCTAATTTTTGTTTTTTGATGAGTCGTCGTGGTAGCCCTTTTTGAATTCAACAATAATATTTTGTATTTTTTGTGGTTTGGGTTAACTCTAATTTTATTTGATATCTGAGCTAGCCAAACCCTAGTCCTTTCCTAGGGTTTCCTAGCATTTGCCTTAACCATCCACCAAAAATTTTCTTTTCATATTCCTTAACCTTAGACACACTTTGACCTAACCCTAATTTTCTTTTGTTGATTTTCTAAATCAGCAATCCCAATTTAATTTTAAACATTGTTGATTAGTCTCCCACACCCTCTTTCATCTCTCAACTCTAAATTCTTGTCATGCCGCCAAGGAGATACATGCTCGAGCCTACCCGAGAAGAGAAACAACAAGAGATCCGGTCAGCTGACTTCAGCAGAGGCTTGTGGACATTGAAGATGAAACCCTTGAAGAGATTACTTTCAACCAGGATTGGAAAGGTTGAAGAGGCGAAAGAGACGAGAATATCAATCCCTTCCATAGGGAGGATTTCAGTGATAAAAAACGAAGACCGAGACATTTCAAAATCCAATATCAGAGGAGGCTGAGAGAAGAGTCAGCTTATGGAGAACGGGAGAATTTGAAGATGAAGCGTGAGATCTAGCGCTAGTTTCTACCATTTTACTATAGACAGAAGTTTTAGACTCTAGCTCAGAAGTGGAGAGACCACATCACCGGACGACCACAATGTCTTACAGACAGAGAGCTCAACCAGATTACACCGAGAACACCCAAGATAAGCCCGTCAGAGGAAAAACTGATTTAGAGCGGAGAATAGGTTGAACCAATCCACATCCCTAAATTTGCCACAACCAAGAAGTGTTGCAAGTGCTACCGATTTGGGCATGTTGAATCAAATTGCACAACCAAGAGGGTGATCTATTTCATTGAGCTGAGCGTTCTTGAAAATATGGTCGCGTGGGAGAGACTCAAACCAACTTCACGGTGAGTGCGCTAGGCAGGCTTGAGTTTGAGAAACTGACACCGGAGGCATGAAAACCTTAGAAAAGAGAACATCAAGTCATTCAGAAATATAAACTCATTTCTGACTTGCCCATATTGAGGGAGGTCCAACAAGTCAGAAATTGGGCTCTTTTGTGCCATGTTGAGAAGATTACATGTGTTAGATTCAATTTAGCATGATATCCATCATTAGATGTCCAGGCATGAGGGATGAATCCTGGCCTTGAAATTTATCTTAGGAACTTGATCGGGAAAGAATTTCTTCAATGAGATCCAGCTTTTATCAGTATAGAAGAGATTCCTACTGAGTGGTTGCTAGTAAGAATGGTGCACCCTGACATAGAATTCACTCCAGAGTTGAGCTCTCTTCTCATATTTGTTTATCAGCTACATTTTGCTGAGTACGAGAAGTGGAATAAAAATGTTCTAGACTTAAAGGCTCAAGTGTTATAGTGCTGGAACCTACATCCATATACAACCTCAGCTTGGGATATGCTCAGCAATTATACACATTTTCTCAATCAAGACGTGTTGTGAAATGACAACCCCGACATGATCGACTTACCAGGGGACTACACTATCTATGTGCCTTCAATGTGGCAGACTTGACTCTATTCTGTAGGATGCCAAAAGCTTCGACGAATGAAGTCGAAGCTTTCCAACACCGAGAGACTGACGCGGGGCTTGCTAGGTTACCGACCGTACTGGTTGACCTTCACGGGGACTAGAATTGCCACCTCCTCTCTCTACCAATTTCATATTCTCCCTTCCATAGAGGGAGCTCCTTTCTCTTCTAATCCTTTCCTATTTCTTGTACTTGCCTATTTTTCTTTCTTTCCTATTTCTATTCATTGCCTATCTCTTTTCCTTTCTTATTTCTATTCCTTCCTGTTTTGTTCTTTAACTTTTTTTTAATTCCTTTATATTCTAATTCCTTTCTATTTTAACTACTAGTACTTATTACATATATGTGTGTTATTATCTGTTTTAGGTTTATTTTTGGGCTAAGTTTTCTTTTTGGACAACCGCCGGCATCCTTCTCTTCCCTTCTAGGGCTATATCCGATGGTGAGATGGCGCTCTAGCTGTAACTTGTTCGAGGTGATGATCTTCTCCAATGGTTCGAGGGGTGCTCCGGTTGCAACTCGCTTCCACAGGGATGGTTATCCTTCCATATTCCCCTCACATGCTCTGAGCCATCCTCCTGACGTTCCCACCTTTCCCGTTTCACTCCCGCACTCCAGGCTAGCACTCCGACCTGCTGCTGACAGCCCTCCAGCACTCCGATCTGCTGCCGACAGCCCTCCAACACTCCTACTTGCCACCGACAACCTCTCCAGCACTCCAACCTGCTGCGCCAACCTCTCCAACGCTCCGACCTGCTGCCGCCAGCCTCTCCCTCGCTTCGACCTGCTGCCGACAGCTTCTCTAGCGCTCCACCCTGCTACAGCAGCCCCTCCAGCACCGCACCTGGCTGCCGCAACTCCCTACACAGTCATACCGCTGGAGACCTTGGTCACCATCTTATATGCTGTTCTGCAGCCGCTCACCGCCTCGCCATCGCATCGTCTAATCGTTGTTTTTGTGATGAATAATTCTATTTAAATTCATCAAAAATATTTATATTTCTTTTGATTTGGGTTAACTCCGATACGAGGAACAACTAAAGAGCAAACCATTTTACTTCAATGGAAATTGAAATTTTATCCTATTCTCTCACATGCAAAATCAAAATACCGGTCAAAGTTTGTTAAGTCATCAAACATCCAACTTCAACCAGAGGCAAGTAATCTTTCACATTAGCATAAAGTACTTTTTTCCACTCGATATTATCTTTCTGACAAATCTAGTACGGTCATCGTATGCAGCTCTAGCTAGGCCAAAGTATCTTATTACACAATTCTCATGTATTTACATGGCTCACACCCAAACTTTCATATTTACATACATAACCAAAAAAGTTAAGTAATTATTACCTTCTAACTTGTAAAGCATTCAGGGGATATATGGCACCTGAGTATGTAACAAGGGGCTACTTGACCGTAAAGGCAGATGTATACAGTTTTGGTATTGTTGCATTGGAAATAGTCACTGGGAAGAGTGTCACCAAGCTAACCGAATCAGGAAACCTCCACCTTTTGGACTGGGTAAGGATTTGTTTGGGTTCATTTTTGTTTTTAATTGTTGTATTTCATTTTTTAGTTTTTTTATTTTGAAAAATATGTTTGTTCAGTATATTTTTTAAGTGTTTTTAGTTTTGTTTTTATTAACAAATTAACATATTTTTAAAAATACTCAAAACAACATATAAGTGTTTTGAGTATTGTTTTTTTCTGAATTGAACATAAACAGAACATAATAAAAATAAGAGACATTTATACACATACCACCAAATTCCTATGTATTTACATGTCCAGACCCAAACTTTGTTACATTTAGACTTCCCAAATCTTCCGCATAACATAAAAAAATGCCATTATTTTAACTTTTAAAAAGTAAATTCACATTTTTCATGCATAGATAAGATGACATGTAAAAATTAAATTTTAAGTCTTAGATATGTAAATAAATATGAATTGAGTGGTATTTATGTAAATCTTCCTAAAAACAATAGTGATTCGAAACAACCATTAATTTCTCCATTAGTTCACTATTTTAACAGCAGTTTTAATCAATTGCATCATATGGTAGGCGCACATTCTAAAAGAGAAAGGCGAGTTACTGCTGCTTGTTGACAAGAAGCTGGGGCTCGATTTCAACAAGGAAGAAGCTCTAAGAATGATCAAGGTAGCTTTGTTGTGCTCCAATTCATCACCAGCTCGGAGGCCGGCATTGTCGACGGTGGTGTCCATGCTGACCTCTGATATAAGCGTTACAGATTCTGTTGCAGATTCAGCCATTACGCACGAGCATCTGACTCAGGAAATCTGGTGGAATCCTGATGGCAATGAGACTTCTACATCACAAAAACTGATACAACCATTGCAGTGAAGTTATTTATTGATGATTCTAGCACTTGAAAAACTTTATACTGTCCTTTTCTCTTAAGACTTCAGGTTAATGTCTATTTATTTATTTTTATTTTTTTTTGGGATAAGTTTTCTGCTAATATTGTGATTATAGTGATGATATATTTTAGGCTCAATTTGTTTATTTATATGTGTGATATTTTTATAATGGTTATTGAATGCATATGAGCATTTACGTATAGGTAAGATGGAGCATATGTAAATATTGAAGTTTAGGTGTTATATATGTAAATACATAGGAATTGGGTGGTATGTATGCAGATGTTCCGAAAAAATGGTAGTCTCCTCGGGTTGAATTGACTCGGGTGCAATTGAAGAAATTACGAGCCTGTCTAGCGTTTACATGCAATGGAATATCACAACGCAATTCCTTTTAATAATATAAAAATCATGGGTATTTACATAAATACCAAACAATTTTGATGTATTTACATATCTAACGTCTAAACTTTAATATTTATATTCATAACACAATTATTTAAGATTACATCAAAGATCACTACTAATTTTTTGAAAGTTAAATGTACTTTGCAAGCGTTGGTTTATAAATGTAAATATCAAAGTTTAGGTGTTAGATATATAAATTCATAAGAATTATGTGATGAGTATGTAAATTTTCCTAGAAATTGTTAGTTTAAAATCACAAATAAAATAATGAAATCAGCACTATGTTAAACACATTTTTTTGTCAAAATACAAAATTTCATCATTAAATTGATTTTTTCTTTCCTTCACAAATGTTTTTTTTGGTTCGTTCGGCAAATTTAAAAGTTCAATCGATGAAAATAAAAATAAATCAATAATACAATTTGGGTTTAGAATGTCGCGAGACAGTTCAATTCTTATGTACTGTTGGTCTGAAAGAGAGACTGCGGGGAGCAAACCCTAATATGAGAGGCCACGATTGGGTCAACATATAGCGTATATTGCTCGAATTCAATATGATTAACGGACAACAATTTGTGCACAAAAAATCTTGATAGGGCAACACAAATAGAAGAGATTTGAAGGAGATGAAGATATCAAGGTGTGAGAGTCCACATTTAAAAAGATGGATAGTAGGGTAGAGTAGAAATGTAGGTCTAATAGGTGACCACTAAATATGCAGATCAAATGTTAAATACCATTAAAAGAAGTATCATAATTGCAACTCCAAGGAGCTTAGGAGGTCAATATGGGTTGTGAGTTTACATATGCCTAATTTGGCTGAGTGGGTTAGAAGGATTCCATTTGGGTTAGCTTTGGATAAATGCACTTATCCTATGGTCACTTAGGATCAAGTCTAAGGGGATTTAAGTGTGAGTTTAGCTCAATGAGAAAGATATATGAGTCAAATGTGGTGTTATTATTGATTATGTTGTGTTTCTCTTTTATTATATTTGCATGTTCCACCATGTCATGTTCCTTTTTCTTGTGAAATTGTGCTCTATATTTAAATCTTAGAATTCTAATAAAAATGGTAGATCTAATTAGGGTTCAAGGTAATTTAATGAAAGGTGAAGAAAGTC